AATCTTCCAGTAAATGCAAATAATCCATGGCAATTTTATTATTGATATAATCCTCACATGCATTAATAAATGGAATATGAAAAATAGGTGGTGATTAAAACTGGATGACCCACAGCATGTTATTAAGGTGTATCCTTTTTCACTTCTGGTTTGCCAGTTTAAATCATTCCAGCATAGTTAAGACTGAAAACCGTGGCTCCTTGCTGGCTCTAGTTGATATCAAGTGTGTTGACATTTATTACAATTACATCAATTGATAATGTGGGCATTTGCCAGAAAGACCAAGAATTGAAAGCCTTCTGGCAACCAAATGTCCCTTCTTTCGTTTGCTGTGCAAATCTTTTTTAGGTGGAGGCATATTATGGCAGAGCTGGCTTTCTTTCCAGGAGATTGCTTGTGTAGGAAATAAATGAGGGGCCCTGAACTTTTTATAGCTGTTAATTTGTTTCTATCTCTGTCAGATGCCCCTCCTAGAAATAGATCATACTTATCTTTTTTAAAAAGAACTCCAAGAAGTCAGTTATAAACAAGAAAATAAGTTTCACTAAAAAAAAATAAATCTGGAATTGCATTTTGAAGTTATCATATGTGAAAACAGAATGCAAAATTCTCACATATTTTAAGTCAAATAACCTGTAAGACACATTTCAAAAATTTCATTTATTCATTAATTATTGCCCCCCCAAAATTATTTTACATTTATTCTGTCCCAGGTGCTATTCTATAGCACTAAACAAATAGTTGAGTTCCTTGACTTCATAAAGGTTAAAATCCACTTGTGAAGACTGATGTAGATAAGAAATTATAGATGTGATGAGTGGTATAGAGGAAAATTGTTAAGGGGAAGCAATTAACATGCAGTGATAAACTAACATAAACATCTTACCAAGCATAATGCAGTGGCAATTGAGCATACTTGTCAGGAGACATGTTTATTTTGTTCTCATAGAGTGTGGTGGAGATATATTGATTTGTTTTATAGATTCTTACACAGAAAAAAAACCCCACTTAGATTAATTCAAAAAACCATCAATGATTACTCTTTGGTCAAATGAGAAATGGTGTCAAAAATAAAGTTTTTATGACACATGAAATATTGAAGTTTTATTTACATATATAAGTCTTGCTTCAGCCCTAGAATAGCTCTGAAGTATTATTAATCATCATTTAATGAAAAACATTCCGCTGATTTAACCTCAGTGAGTCCTAAATTTACTATCAGTATAATGTGAGGTTTGCACAAGGATTGGACTGGAGGGTGCAGGGCATAACTCTTCCTTCAAGTAAAATCTTAGACGTTCAACATGTAAATCGAATGGAAGTGGTACTGATATGGAGTAGCTGGCATATGAGGTTTTGAGCCCTCATAATTCTCCCTCGCATGTTGCCTTCCTCCTGCCAAGGGTCCCTCTGCAGAATCCCAGAGCACAGTTTGAAAATCTCTGCCGGCATTTAGATTCTTTTAAAGTAGTGAACAAAATGAAGTGTCTTGCTCCAGAAACACCCTTTTTCCTTCAACAAGAAAGATAAGGCAGGCATAGTTTGTTTTCTTGTGTTTCGTTTCATTGCACTTCTCAGATACTGTGTTTTTTACGATTGGAAGGTTTGTGGCAACCCTCCTCGAGCAAGTCTATTGGGGCCATTTTTTCAACAGCATATGCTCACTTTCTGTCTCTGTGTATTTTGGTAACTCTCGCAATGTTTCAAATTTTTTGTTATTGTTATCTTCTATGGTGGTCTGTGATCTCTGATCTTTGATGTTACTGTTGGAATTGTTTTGGAGCATCACAAACCATGCCCATAAAAGGTGTAAACGTAATAAATGTATGTGCCGACTGCTCCACTGACCTGCGGGTCTCCTGTCTCTTTCCCTCTCCTAGGGCTTCGCTATTCTCTAAGACACAACAATATTGAAATCAGGCCACTTAATAACTCTACAATGGCTTCTAAGCATTCAAGTCAAAGGGTCATTTTAAATCAAAAGCTGGAAATGATTAAGCTTAGTGAGTCAGGCATGTTGAAAATCAAAATAGACTGAAAGCTAGGCCCTTGCACCAGTCAGCCAAGTTATGAATGCAAAGGAAAAGTTCTTGATATACACTAAAAGTGCTATGCCAGTGAACACATGAATGATAAGAAAGTGAAACAGCTTTACTGCTGAGATGGAAAAAGTTTTAGTGGTCAGGATAGATCAACCCAGCGACATTTCCTTAAGCCAAAACCTAATCTAGAGCAAGACTGTAACTCTCTTCAATTCTATGAAGACAGAGAGGTAAAGAAACTGCAGAAGAAAAGTTGGAGGCTGGGAGAGGTTGATTCATGAGGTTTAAAGAAAGAAGCCATCTTCATAACATAAAAGTGTAAGGTCAGGCAGTGTAAGGTCAGTGCTGATGCAGAAGCTGCAACAAGTTATCCAGAATATCTAGCTAAAATAATTGATGAAGGTGGCTACACAAAGCAACAGATTTCCAGTGTGGACAAAATAGCCTTCTATTAGAAGAAGATGTCACCTGGGACTTTCATAGCTAGAGAGGAGAAGTCAATGCCTGGCTTCAAAGCTTCAAAGGACAGGCTGGCTCTCTTGTTAAGGGCTAGGGCAGCTGGTGACTTTAAGTTGATGCCAATGTTCATTTATCATTCTGAAAATCATAGGGCTCTTCAGAAATATGCTAAATCTACTCCGCCTGTGTTCTATAAATGGAACAGCAAAATCTGGATGATAGCACATCTATTTATAGCATAGTTTACTAAATGTTTTAAGCCCTCTGTTGATAACCACTGCTCAGGAAAAAAGATTCCATTCAAAATATTACTGCTCATTGGCAATGCTCCTTATCACCCAAGAGCTCTGATGGAGATGTACAAGGAGATAAATGTTTCCATACCTGCTAACACAACATCCATTCTGCACCCCATGGATCAAGAAATAATTTGAATTTTCAAGTCTTATTATCTAAGATATGAATTTCAGGAAGCTATAACTGCCATAGATAGTGATTCCTCTGATGGGTCTGGGCAAAGTAAATTGAAAACGTTCTGAAAAGAATTCACCATTCTAGATGCCATTAATAACACTCATGATTCATGGGAGGAGGTCAAATATCAACATTAACAGGTGTTTGGAAATTAATTCCAGTCCTCATGGATGACTTTGAGGGGTTCAAGCCTTTAGTGGAGGAAGTAACTGCAAGAAATGTAGCAAGAAAACTGGAATTAGAAGAGGACCCCAAAGAGGTGACAATTGCTGCAATCTCAGCAATTTAAAACTTAATAAAAGAAGAGATGCTACTTATGAATGAGCAAAGAAAGTGGTTTTTTGAGATGGAACCTACTCCTGGTGAAGATGCTGTGAACATTGTTGAAATGACAAAGGATGTAGAATATTACATAAACTTAGTTGATAAAGCCACAGCAGGGTTTGAGAGGACTGATTCCAATTTTAAAAGAAGTTCAACTGTGGGTAAAATGCTATCGAACAGCATCACATGCTACAGAGAAATCTTTCATGAAAGAAAGAGTCAATTGATACAGCAAACTTCATTGTTGTCTTAGTTTAAGAAGTTGCCACAGCGACCTCAGCCTTCAGGAACCACCACCCTGACCAGTCAGCAGCCATCAACATTGAGGCGAGACCCTCCACCAGCAAAAAGATTATGACTCCCTGAAGGCTCAGATGATTGTTAGTATTTTTTAGCAATAAAGTATTTTTTAACTAGGATATGTACTTCTTTAGACGTAATGTCATTGCACACTTAATAGACTACAGAATAGTAGAAACATAAACTTTATATGCACCCTGAAACCGAAAAATTCATGTGACTCACTGTATTACAATATTCACTTTATTGCAGTGGTCTGGAGTCAAACCTGCAATATCTCCAAGGTAGGCCTGTAATACTGTCCAGATTTTTGAAAATATCATGTGTGAATTATTAGGTATTTTTATGATGCGATAAGCTTATGCAAGGTTTTAATTCTTTTAAAGTGGCTTATTTCAACACATTAGTTTGTTATATGTCTTACTAAGCCATCTTCTCTGCCTTTCAGATCGCATAACCATTACCCCAAAGGACCCCCAATGGGTAGGGGCCTGGTGGCTTGGTTATCTAATAGCAGGAATCATAAGTCTTCTTGCAGCTGTGCCTTTCTGGTGTTTACCAAAGAGTCTACCAAGACCCCAAAGGGGAGAAGATTCTAATTCCTCCACTGAGAAATCCAAGTTTATTATAGATGATCACACAGACTACCAAACACCCCATGGAGAAAAGGCAAAAATAATGGAAATGGCAAGAGGTAAGTCAAATTCTCCATCATTTTGAAGCACTTTCAGTTTTCCCATTGAGACTTTAGGGGTGCTGTAAATAATACCCCTCACTTCCCATTGTGTATTCCCCCCCAAAACTGAGAAACCATACAGGAAGCAAAAATGGAGGTCAATAATTTACCTTTATTATTGGAAAATTGACTGCAGCACATGACATCTCCACCCTCTCACATTGCTTTGATTTAGACCCTACAATAGCCTCTACCCAGGATTGCTGCTTTGTATAAGGCTGAGTGGACAGAATAGAAAATAGGGTATCTGCAGGGTTGGTGGCCTTTGAACAGATGAGATCCACCCATGTGAGTATTGCAAGTCTCCCACTAGTGATTTGAGTGAGTGTGGTATGGGCAAAGGCCAGAGTGTTCCAATGAATCGCCTCCATGGGGGGATAGATACAAGATTGATCTCCTCCCCCCTTCTTCTCAGACAATATTTACATTGATCCAAATTCTTCACATGTCTGATTGGTTGGCGATATAACAGGAAGAAGGGAGAATACCAAAGTTCATTTCCAAAACCAACATTCATACATTAAGTGGAGATAAATTTTATATTCTTTTCCCCGTGACCATGACACAAGTTAGAAGAACAGAGACCAGAAAAGTGAAGTTCTTGATGTCCTGCCTATGGCTCCCAGCTGGATGGTGAGGGGATATATTCTCATCACCCTGGTCTTTTAAGGAATCTGTTCCTGTTTGACTTTTACCTCTAATGGAATCTGTATTGCATTCCTATAGAAGCAAGTGCTTATGCCTGGTTCTGAACCTGGCCAGATGACAGCCTTGAGGTGTGCCAGTGGTTTATGATGCACAGTGTGTGTGCCACACTAGGACTACTCCCAAACACTGTGACAATGGGACTTTGCCATCGAAGTCCTGCCACCACCGCTGCATCTTCTGCCAAGTGTGACACTGTCTTTAATTATTCCATGTTATTTTTGTCTTACAGATTTTCTTCCATCACTAAAGAATCTTTTTGGAAATCCAGTGTACTTCCTATATTTGTGTACAAGCACTGTTCAGTTCAATTCTTTATTTGGCATGGTGACATATAAACCAAAGTACATTGAGCAACAGTATGGACAGTCATCTTCCAAGGCCAACTTTGTTATTGGTATGTTTATCTGTCCTTCATGTTTTCTTATAGAAACTTGGATGCATTTTTTTCTGTGATTTTATTTATTATTATTATTTCATGGTGTTTTTATTTCTAAGTATTAAGGGGGTACAAATTATTTTGTTTACATGGATCGCTTTTATAATGCTTGAGTCAAGGCTATAAGTGTGCCCATCACCCAACTAGTGTTCATTGTACCCATTGGTAGGTTTGTGGCCCTCCCCTCCTACCTCCTTTCCCCTGCTTGATTGCCACTAAGTTTTACATTTCTTTGTGCACATATATGCTCATTGATTAGTTCTAGTTTAATAGCGAATACATGTGGTGTTTGTTTTTCCATTCTTGAGCTACTTCACTTAGGATAATGGTCTCTAAAATTTTTGCAAAAGGTATAGACTCATTTTTTATGGCTGAGTAGTACTCCATGGTGTACATATACCACATTTTATTAATCCACTCATGGATTGACGGGTACTTGGGTTGTTTCCACATCCTTGCAATAGTGAATTGTGCTGCCATAAACATTCGAATGCAGATGTCTTTATTATACAATGACTTTTTTCCTTTGGGTAGATGCCTAAAAGTGCTATTGTTGGATCAAATGGTATTTCTGTTTTTAGCTTTTTGAGGTATCTCCAAATTCTTTTCAAAAGAAGACAGAATAATGGCCTGCAGACATATAAAAAAATGCTCAATATTTCTAATCGTTAGGGAAATGCAAATCAAAACCACAATGAGAAATCATCTAACCCCAGTGAGGCCTTATCAAAGAATCCCAAAGCAATAAATGCTGGTGAGGATGTGGAGAGACAGGAACACTCTTACATTGCTAGTGGGACTGGAAATTAGTGTAACCTCTGTGGAAAAGAATTTGGACTTTTTAATAAAAGCCATTCTAACAGGGGTAAGCTGATATCATTTCGGTTTTAATTTTCATTTTTTCTGATTATTAGTGACATTGAGCATTTTTTCATATGTTTATTGGCCATTTGTCTATCTTCTTTTGACAATCTCCTGTTCATGTCTTTTGCCTCCTTTTTAATGGGGTTGTTTGATTTTTTTCTTACTGATATGCTTGAGTTCTTTGTAGATTCTGGATAATTAGCCCTTTATTAGATGTATAGCTTGCAAATATTTTCTCCCATTCTGTAGGTTGTCTCTTTGCTCTGTTGATTATTTCCTTAGCTGGACCAGAAGATTTTAGTTTAATCAAATCCCATTTATTTATTTTTATCATTGCTGTGATTGCCATTAGGGACCACCCTAAAACTGTCCCAGCAAGGATCAAAGGTCAGCTCCTGGGCCACTGGGGAAGGCCTCTGAGAAGGTGGTTAAAGTGGCCTCACCAAAGTCTGCTAGTGAGGAAGGGGTCATCTGCAGTTCACCAACTGGCTATCCGGAGTGACTTTTGCACCCCCACGCCCTCACTGCTCTTCCCCTGCCCCAAAAAACTCTGTCCAGTCTCTGGTTGTAAATGGGTGCCCAAATTCAACATGCTTATCAGTAGTGGTGCCTTGGGCTGGGAATCACCCTACCATGGACCTGCCCCAGTCCGAAGGCATGGTTCTCCCTCCATGGGGATGGGTGCTCCACCAGTTTGCAGCAGCTTGGACCCACAGTGCACTCTCCTGTCTGTTCTCCCCACATGGGCCCCTCCACCTCTCCAGTTTAGCTCTCAATTCTCCCCCAATCCTGTGCCCCCAAACAACCCCAGGGAGTCCTGGAGGTATGGGATCCAGCTGTGCACCTGTCTCACTGGTGGGCATCTCCAGGGAGTGTTGGCAGGCAGGGAACTCCCAGACCTAGCCCTGTAGGTCCACTGCAGGTCCTCAAAGGGAAAGGTGTAGGCCCCGCTCTGTGGAAACCTCAGACTGGAGGGTGCACCAGCAGAGTGCAGGGGACCACTTTTGATAGTCTTAGTTCAATGGCCCCTCTTGGCTGCAGTGGGTGGGGGAGTAGCGGGGAAGGAAAAGAGCCTGAATGGAAGAGAAACAGCACTCCAGGTCTTCCCTTCTCTCTCCCTGGAAGGAGGCCCATCCAAAATGTCCAAGCTCTTGGATCATATAAGTTCTCCAGGGCCCACCACAATCTGGGCAGGAGTTGGGAACTGTCTGTTTGGGAACAGGTGATGTGAAAACTGAAGAGCTGGAGCTCCCTAGGGTGGAGAAAGGGACGGTATGGGCAGGAAGCAGTATGGTGTCCACCCTCTCAGCTTGTGGCTGTGGTCATGCGGGCTGACCCCCAAAGTGGCTGGAAGCCCAATGCTTTGTTTTCAGGAGGCTCACAGTTCAATAGTTGTAGCAACATTTGGGCTCACGGGTGTGGATAATCTCCCAAGTAGCTTGGCAGTCCACCCACCACTGCAGGTGTGTGGGAAGGAGAAATGAAACCCCCATCTACTGCCCTTACTGGGCTCCAAGCTTCTCCAGGGTAAATTTCTATCATTATCTTTTTTCTTCTTTTTCTGCTTCATGATTTCTTTCCATGAAGTCTCCTGCAGGCTTCAGCACCTTTCCCCCGAATTATACCTTAGCTGTTCCCATTGCCCCCCTCTCCTCTATCTGAAACACTTCCTTCCCTCTGGGATGATGTGGCAATGGATCTCTCTAGTCAGCCATCTTCTCCCACTCTTTAGATGCATCTTAATGATTAGTGATCTTCAAGAAAATTGTTCCAATATTTAGACTGAAGGTAATTTAGAGCATTTTAGATGAACTCAAAAAGTAAGTGTAAAAAAGTCTAGCAGAGTAAAATATTTAGACCATCTGTGCCACTACTTTGTAGCAAGAATTATTCACAACTGTGGGTGAGTGACCCAGAGAGGAAGAGGTCCTTGAAGAAATATCATAGAGACCAAACATGCATTTTGTGAAGAGATTGTTAATACTGGATATTTGTGTTTCAAGTGTAGCCAAAACCTCACAATGACCATTTTACACGAGGAATTTTTAGGATTATATAAAATGGGCATTTGGACAGGTTAAAAGATGTTCATCACAAAACAAACTGGTATTTGCTCAGCATCAAAAGACTTTTCTGACTCCTGGCAACACGGTTCTTTAAAAGGGTCGTGTTTCTAGCACAGCGGTACTGTTGGTGATGAGAAAGGTAGTCAAGGGCCAAGAAACTCATGAAGAAGTGAATGAAGAGGAACCAGAATCTACAAATACATAACCGTCACCCTAGAAGTAATTGGATATTTTTAAAACCTGAAACTAAATTCCTTTAGTCCAAGAATATGTCATTTAATGTTACTGTTTCAAGGCACAAAATATATTCTATTTCTTTGGACATATTCCTTTATGATAGGAGAATCCAATGATTTAAAATAATTTCTCTTCATAAAATATTGTAAAAATTACTCTATGTATCTGTCTCTGAAAGAGATGGGTGTGGGAGGGGAACCCAGCTGAGTATATTTTAGGAAATATAATTTTTCTATAATAATCCTGAGTGATGTTCATGTAGCAGATACTAATATAATTCTTGATGTTAAGGTTAGATCACTGAACTTTTTTACTTTTAACATTCATTAATTTTACTATTTATTGGTTGATCTAAAAAAATGTTTTAGGTTTTTTTTTCTCCAACACCCCATTCATGCCAATCAAAACTTTACATTGACTTCAAGAAGAATAGATGAGGAATGAACGCTTATGAGAGACATTCTTTTTATTTTATTTTAAATTTTTTATATGTTTATTGAGATATTTACAATCAACAGTTAAGCTTACAGATCTTAAATGTGTAGTTAAGCTGGATACATTTTTACATATATATTTGTGTAGTAACCCCCATCCAGAACATACAGCCGCACACTTTAGTACTCTGACAGCCTCCCTCCGATCTCCTTCTAGTCAACACTTTTCCCCAAAGCTAATAACTAGTCTGAACTCTATCATCACAGACCAGTCTTGCCTATTTTTGAACTTCATATAAATTGAATAATATGTTATATACTTTTTTGTGTCTAGTTTTTTTTCAATAGAAGGGAAATCTATGAGATTCATTCATGTTGTTATATATAGCAGTATATGTTCTTTTTCATTGCTGTATAATATCCTATTACATGACTATACCACAGTTTATTTATTGTTGGTGGATATTTGGGCTGTTTTCCACTTTTGACTGTTATAAATAAAACTGTTGTGACCATTCTCCATGTATATTGGTGAGTGAATACACTCATTTTTCTTGGCTATACCCTGGAATGCAATTGGTAGGGACATACTCTGAAGCTCTCAGTTTAGAGTCTGGTTTTCAGAAGATATTTTTTCCATAAACCAATTTCAAGGGGTGGGATTGAGAGAAAGAGAATGTAGGACTCTACTCTTGTTGTGTCAGTCTTGGGTCTATGGAAAGGGATTCAAAGTCAAGTACTATGTTTTCTATGTTTATTGTATGTATGTGTATAAAAATGGGGACTTTAAGGGTACATATTAAATTAATGGCAAAGCTTACTTCCGGAGAAAGAGGATAGAACCTATAACAGAAGGAGGACTAGATTTATCTATATCCACATTTCACATAATCAAAAAAATTAGAAGAAAATATCAGCTAGGTTTTTGCCAACAAGAAATAAGTTTTTTTTTTATTACTGTAGCACAAAAATTTGTGCTTCAGGATTTGATGAATTCTTGAAAAGCATTTTCTGCATCCTGCTGGTTGTGGAAGCATTTTCCCTTCAAAAAGTTGTTGAGAACTTGAATAAGTGGTAGTCAGTTGGCGACAGATCAGATGAATGTGGCGGATGAGGCAAAACTTTGTAGCCCAATTTGTTCAGCTTTTGAAGCACTGGGTATGCATGTTCAGTCAGGCATTGTTGTGGAGAAGAATTGGGCCCTTTCTGTTGACCAATGCCTGTGGCAGGCATTGCAGTTTTCAGCGCTTCTCAGATGTAATGGTTTTCACCAGGATTCAGAAAGCTGTAATGGATCAGACAGGTAACAGACCACCAAACAGTGACCATGACCTTTTTTTGGTGCAAGTTTGGCTTTGGGAAGTGCTTTATAGCTTCTTATCGATCCAACCACTGAGCTGGTCATCGCCAGTTGTATAAAATCCACTTTTGGTCACAAGTCACAATCTGATTGAGAAATGATTCATTGTTGTTGAGTACAAGAAGGGAAGACAGCACTTCAAAATGACGATTTTTTTTGATTTTCGGTCAGCTCATGAGGCACCCACTTACCAAGCTTTTTCACCTTTCCAATTTGCTTCAAATGCCGAACGACTATAGAATAGTCAATGTTGAGTTCTTTGGCAACTTCTTAGGTAGTTGTAAGAGGATCAGCTTCAATGATTGGTCTCAATTAGTCATTGTCAACTTCCGATGGCCAACCACTGCATTCCTCATCTTCAAGGCTCTCATCTCCTTTGCAAAACTTCTTGAACCACCACTGCACTGTACATTCATTAGCAGTTCCTGGGCCAAATGTGTTGCTGATGTTGCAAGTTGTCTCCGCTGCTTTACGACCCATTTTGAATTCAAATAAGAAAATCGTTCGAATTTGCTTTTTGTCTAACATCAGTTCCATAGTCTAAAATAAATATAAAATAAACAGCAAGTAATAAGTCATTAGCAAAAAACCATAAAGCATAAATGCACGTTAAAATGACGTATAACACAACCACATTTATTTAAGAATGTATTCCAATATCAAATGGCAAATTTCAACAATGTTAAAACTGTAATTACTTTTGCACCAACCTAATAACTTGGGTCATAAAAACTGGATTTGTTATTTTTTTCTATTATCTAGTCATCATTTTTTAAATAGTAATCAGGTGTCTCTTAGCTGATTTTTGGCTCTTTGGGGTCCCTGAACATTTTCATCTCTGCCACTTGCCATACCCACAAACATCAGATGAGCTGGAAGAGCATAAAGTAGCATTTCCTCTCTTCCATTTCACTAATTTCATGATCATCACCCCTTTAAGATGGGCTGATTTCTAATATGATCATTTTAATGTTAACTTATACAACATATGGTCAAATCAAAAGAGATGGAAAAAAACTATTTATTACCATCTATATAGAGTGAAAATATTTTTTAAGATAAAATAATGTAATAGCAAACCAAAGACCATTTGATATTTGGGATTCTAAGAAGCTTAGTTAAGAGATTGAATAAATAAATTTAGAAAGAAGGGAAAAAAAGGAAAGAAGAAAGGAAGAAAATTTGCATCTCATTATCACTAGATGTAAATGCTTTTTATTTTTATTTAACAATTTCACATTGAGTTGTGAGTCAGAGATGTGGGTACTTGGGTTATTGTTTATCCCAGCAAATGCTAAATTTGTATTTGAACTTGCCTGTTGGTTAGAGTTTATACAAGTTTTGGCCTTTTATTATTTGGCAGAAATGCATTATCTCAAAACCTGAAGATAATATGGACACCAATGACTGAAAGGTAGACAATATGAGAAATAAATTCTAAGCAGCAGAGAGGTTGTTTATTGTTGAGTGTAGATTGCTCTTCTCTAGAGTTATACCATGTACAATCCAACCAATAAGGCACAAAAGAGCCTCTTTCCCCAAGTCTTTTCCAACACAAAAGTTCCACTCCCCACTTCACCCCCAATAGATTCATTTTTATAAATATAATAGGTAGAAATTAATTGCATGATATTTTTGTGCCAGATAATGTGTTAAGAACTTTTCATGAATAATGTCATTTAATCACCTCAACAGCACTGTTATTAGTTTCATATTATAGGCAAGGAGACAGGTTTAGAGACATTCAGAAAATTACCTGCAGTGGCATATTATTAATAATTGGTATTATTAATAATTAGTAGAACTGAGATCCAAACCCAGATAGTTGGGTCTCCAGAGTCCAAGCTCCCGACAAGTTGGACCTCTTCCTAGTGTTGTTTATAGCTCACATTTATTTGGTTACTAGTGAGGTTGCACATCTATTTATCGAGGTATTATCTCCCAAATCCCTTGAAAGAGAGGCAATGTAACAGAGATCAAAAGCATGGGACTTGACTTCAGACTCTTTGCATTGAAATCTAGTTTTACCATGACCATAAGCTAACCGTGACCTTAAACAAATTGCTAACCATGACCATAAACAAATTGCTCTCTGAAATGATGGTAATCACATGCCTATTCTTAAGGTTGTGATGAAAAATAAATGTGTCAGATAATATATCAAATGCTTAGCTGAGTGACTGGTCCATTATAAGAAAATAATATATCAGTATAGATTGTTGTTAGGAAGGATACAAATTCAAAGGCTAAGAGGCTGGGTCAACAAAAGCAAATTTTGTTTGGGTCAGAAAATAGAAACGACTTTTTTTTTTAAATTTCCTGCATTCCATGTGCCTATTATTTTTTATGCACAATCTTAAAGAATATTAATAGTCATCTAACTGCTACCCAGTTGTACCCATTAATCATGGGATTGGACCAGAAAGACCAGAAAGATTTATTGATTCATTTTGTATTTATTGATTTAATATCTTGTGGTAGACATTGTGTTAAGCAGAACTCTGAGACTGTGCAGTTGTGCTATCATTAATCCATGTCTAGACACTCATCAAAAGTTCTTGATATATGTCAGTTGATAATGACTGAATATTTCCATAATTTAAACTGACAAAATAGTCTGATAATACGTCAGGACCTACTGCATAGTTCTGTTTAATCCCTTAGAAAGTTTTGTGTGAGTGTACTCAGATTTCTTTTAGAGATCACAAAATAGTATATTTTTCTTGTTCCTCAGGGCTCATCAACATACCTGCAGTGGCCCTTGGAATATTCTCTGGGGGAATAGTCATGAAAAAATTCAGAATCAGCGTGTGTGGTGCTGCAAAACTCTACTTGGGATCATCTGTCTTTGGTTACCTCCTATTCCTTTCCCTGTTTGCACTGGGCTGCGAAAATTCTGATGTGGCAGGACTAACTGTCTCCTACCAAGGGTATGTTCCCTCATTAAATTATTTGAGATAATTGGCTTGTTTAATAAAATTAATTATTGGTAGAGTTTCAAAATTAATAAGATAATGAGATAATTTGATTTTTAAACATCGTAACAATGGGAGGGGAATTATTGTTCTGTTGTGGAATAGCTGATAATACTTGTGACTCAGAATCTGTTATTGTCACCAAAATTTATCTCCTTTGAATTTGAATGTCTTTGAGAAATATAAAGATTGCTAAATCCACATTTTACATTAGAGAATCAACCTGATTAGTTTGCAGAAACAACCTTATAGTGGAAATACAGAGCTTGAATCTTGCCTCTGCCTATTCTTAGTGAAGTAACATTATATGTTATTTAAACCA